GCACAATCTTCACCTTTTAACACTGCTGGATCACATATTCCTGCCTCACATGCGGTTGGGCCATTGGTCACCACATCGTCCATGGTGCAAACCCCATCATTGACGACTGAGCGCGTTATTTCTAGGCTAAATGAGCAACACGATGATCCGAGCATGACTGTAGACAGTTCTCAATTCACTATTGGGAATGAAGTGTCTGTATGCGATGCGTTTGTAGTCGAGTCAGAACCTATGAAAGTATATCAGTCTTTGCATCCCAATCAAACAGTCAAATCCCCAGTATCAGACGACTCTTTTGAGACTGAAATTTTGCAAATGACAATGCCGGAAGCGTGGTTGCCATTTCGTATTCGGTTTGATTTGGTATTTGGTGCCAAGATAAACCACAATCAACTGGCGTCTTTTTCCAAACTAAACGATTTGAAGTCGATCAAATTGGAGGACGGATCTATACAAGCAGCTGAGCAAATTTGTGCCAGGTATGGCAGTAAATACGCCAAATGGTGTTACCGTCCAACTGCTCGTCGTGCAACTAAAAAAATCAAAAAGCGTGCAGTTTTACCTGGTACCATAAAGCAACTTTATGATATGAATGTGACCAAGAATGTGAGAAACTTGGTTCAGCGAACATTGGCAGAGCACGAAAACACATTTTCCAAGTCACCACAGCTGCTCAAGTTAATGGCGAGCGATAAAATGCTTACCAAAACAGATTTGTTTAAAAACACAGCTAGTCTTTTTACAGCACCGCACTTGGGTTGGCTTATTGGCAACTTTTCTGATGCAACAGCGTTTATGCCGTTTGATACGTGTCTCGAGTTGTCTGATTGTGAGATCATGTGGCATCAAGAATCTAAACTTGGCAGACTAGATGAGTTTTGTGTGCCCGATATATCTCATCTGAATGCATTGTGTTTTGATTGTGGCGAGCATCGTGACCATTCATCAAAATGCGAATGCTGTACAGACTTTCAGAATATTCCTACTGGTACACTTATCGGTCCACTTCCCTGGAGTTTACCGGCTACTGCATGTTCCAACAAACTGTTTGATACGATTCGTATGACTTTGGTTTCTTTGCTTGGTATGAATAGTGGCGATGATTCTACCACGTTGAATATATCTGGACCATTGGCGTTGCTAGAATATCATAATTTGCAAGGTATACTCTTGTCTGCCTTGTTTCATTGAACGATTCTGTATGCTACTTTTTCTTACTATATAGTGAGTGCGTTTATGATGTTTTTTAGAAATAGATTTGTCTACTACCAAATATGGCGGATTTCAAGTGCGTAAAAAGAAACGAATCATGGAACCCGTAGTAGATATTCTTGCTGCTCCAGATATTATTTTTAGACACGATGGTGCACTGATTTCTGCTAATCCATTCAGCTATCGATTTTGGACCAAGCTGCGTCTTGAGCCTTATGCTGGTCGTAAGCGGATAGCGTATTTTGGTGTATGTGGTGTATCAGATAAAATGACGACTGATACTATGGACATTGAAAAGTCTTCAGTTGTTGAAACCATTTCAATACAGATGAAACAGACTGCTTGTATGTGGATGACAGAGTTTCAAAACGAATGGGATGTGCATCGGTTTGGTGACTGTAAACCATTAATGGAGTCTGTTGAATTGTCAACCTGTTCTGTCAATATTCCAGGTCAGTTTGAGATTAGGGTTACATTGCCATATGTAATGCACCACTGGCTGCTGACCAGATTTTGTAATCTTGTAGATAATTTTGATGTATGTGATGGTGCATCTGTGACCAAACTGTTTTCCAAGGCTTTCACTAAATCAAGTATGTTGTATTTATTCTGATTATACTTTGAAAATTCTGAATACTTTCTAACCTAAATGTCGCTGTATCAACAACTGCTTTATAAACTATGCAATCAAACAATTGGTATAGTATGCAAGCGTGCACGAGATTTCATTGTAGACATCACGTCACCTTATACTGTATCAAAGGTGTATGATGGAAGCTATCAATCGCCTAATACTCTTTCAAAATACTGCTCCCATCTTTGTATTTTTATATTTATTCCGCCATATATGCTTTATCACGCTCAACGAAAATGGCCAGCAAAATCCGGTCATATTAGCTATTTCGTACAACTATCTTTGCAGCTATGTGATTATTTAGCATGCTTTGTTTCTAAACTGTGCAGTATTTCTGTTGACATTATTCGATCCCGGATCGTGTTTAAGCCTGTTGTTTTTCATCAGGACCGTTTATATTCCGCATTGGTAACTTCAAATGACTGTCATGATGTATATAATCAATGTCAATGGGTGCTGCCAGCCCCAGTTTCGTTGCGCAATGCGAATTCAAGTCGACCCATTTCAATGGATCACTCAAATGTTCCTTGCGCTATTCCTGCACCGTCAGTTATTCTTGATGACAAGCGGGAAGGCAGACAGGCATTTTTATCTATACGAGGACAAGATCATGGCACGATAGATAGTGATTCTGACGGGGAGTGTACGAGCTATGATGAATTTTTTGATGATGCTCGACGGGCTGCTAGTGAGAGGCTTATTGTTGAACCGGTGCGAGTTGCACATGTTGTGTATTGGATTTATAAAACAGAGTTGGAAAGGGTACAGATTTTTGTAAGATGGACAGATCATCGTGGTGAATTATCGGGTGCGGGAATTGTATCGAGTCGACAGCTAGAATCTCGATCTGCCTTGTTTGGTCGTATGATTGAAAATCTGCAGTGTAAGTTTGGACAGCGCGGATTTGCTTATAGATTAGCTGTTTTCAAAATTGGAAGTATGGATCGATTAGAAATGCAAGGTACGCTTAACTGCTTTGATTGTCTTTTTATCGATTTGGAGTTGACTGAGTTTGCATTTGTTTGACATTTTATTAAAGATTGGATATTGGCAATGCAGCATTTTTGCGGATCATCTATACAAGAGTCGACGAATCCATTGAAAGACACTGGGATTGATACGACTCAAACACCACTCAACAAGAACGTAGTTGAGACTCGATACCAACCGAATTCTCAAATTGGAGATTCGTCAGATGTTCCGATTGAATTGGATTTGGATTCTGAAAGTAGTAGATCTTGTATGCAAAAACCAGCTGTGTCCTGTATTGTATCCATTTCTGTGTTTTGCATATCAACGTGTAGTGCTTTGCAATGCTCTCGACCATGTGGATCTGCACCTTTTGGACCATTGAACAAACAGGGTGATGGTGTTTGGTGTGAAGATTCGGTGCCTTGTGCGATATTTACGCTTTCTCACCATCGTGTTCCACTTCCAGTTATTTCATTTGGTCAACAGAATCTTGTGCCATTTCTTCCTCTCTCGTCGGGATGGATATTAAAAGGAAGTCAAAGTATGAGACTATCGCTATTGTGGCATTCACTTACCGAATCTGCAGCTTTGATTGCACCCTCACGGTTACGTCATATTTTGGTTGATGAATGGGATCAAGAGCCTGCAAGTTCACCTGTAGGATCATCATCTACTGGGTATCTAGCAGCACTTCCAAATCATTGTAACATTGTAAGGGATGTTCTCAAACAACTATGCTCACTGGACCATTTGTATAAACTTGTTTCTGATGAATAAAGTAGTTTTTACTTTAATATTTTAAACTGTTTAAATGGATAAATGTAAGCCATATTGTGGACTAACTGAAAACATGACACTTATTTTGAATTATATTGACCCTCTTGTGTCTGGCATCAAGTATATGATGGCTGATGAACGAAAAACTGCATGCTGCTTAAGTAGAAATGCCAGTGCTGTTAAACAGCTGTTTGACATATCTAAATGGATATACAATCACATTCACATAAAATAGAACATTATCTTGCAGTGATTGTCTTTTTGGGATAAACAATGGCAGAATATTCGTTGGAGTTTCCTATTAGAAATTGACTTTGGTTAACACTCAATTCCTCAATATTCATTATATGATGCACACAATAAACTATAGTCTGAATTGAAATTGTTTCGATTTAGTATAGTCATACATTGTACGACCACCGTATTTATCCATTCCAATTCAGGCATTGAGTTTGATGGTGTCAATTAAACTCCATTTTGTATTCTGAAAGCTCGGATATAATCGCGTTTTAGGTCAGGCGAAAAAGGTTGCACATCACAGGAATGCCACTGTTGTTTTTCGTGCCAATCGTTGGCAAAAATATCAGTTAATTTAGAAGTGCGTTTGTGCTCTAATTCGGCAGAACAAGACTGTATGTCACAGAAATTTAACCGCTTGTATCAAATCACCAAGAGAAACCTGGTCAACTAGTGATTCAGATGACACAATATTGGTCAATCTCATTTAGTGATGCCAATCATTAAATGAGATTGATACTCTTGTTTAGTATCGTCTCATTATGATTTCTGTAGTTATTATAACGCATACTATGATCATTACATAATAGTCTATCAACACTTTATTCTTTTACTCTTCAAACGTCTACAAGATGCTTAATTGTACTGTAAATATATCAACCCACCAAGAATGCAGATCTGCTGTTATTCATTGAACATTGACACTGATATTTGAAAGAGTGATGTTAGACTTGTGGTCAAGGACAACATTCATGAGCGAATCTGTCAAGTATATTTTCAAACTCAAAAGACATCACAATCGCTTTGCCTGGTATAGTACTTGGACTTGATATCGTGGCTTATCAAAGTGGGGTAAATTGATATGTACGAATAGCGTCGCTTTTGATATTTTACATAGCACTACCAAAATACCTAATAGAATTGCTGACCTACTGACATGAAAGCATCAAAACAGTTTAGTAGTAGGTTGGCTATTCATCCGATTAACTAAAAAGGGATACTATATAGAGGTTAACCTTAATTTTAGGCACACAAGGATCATGGCTGTACACTTGTAGTGCGGGCTGCTTGATATTGTTCCTTGATCACAGAACTGCGTGTATGTTCATGTAACCCTATGTGCAACACGTGATAAGGAGTGGCAATGTGCATTTGGTACACCCAAATACATAAATAGTGCGGATTGACTGCAATTTCAGAATGAACTATTCAACAATCTCCTAATCTCTTTGTCACTATAAATTCATAGCCTTATCCCCGCTACCTAACTATTACTTTTAATATCGAGCTTTACTGGCGCTACTTGAATGAAAGGCATTACTTTTTCGCTTATAGCCATATTGGCCACTACTGCCCATGCCAAGGTTCTGCCAACAGTCGATTCAGAAAGTGTCGTTCAGCACCTTCAAAAGCGACAGTTTAATGGTGTTAAAAACTTTTTTAAAGGTAAACAGTTCGGGATAAACGGAGCCAAAAATGGAGGACCTTCAAATCAAAACATCCCTCAAAGTAAACAGGGACGAAACACACCTCCCAAACCTAAAAATAATCCTAGATTGTCGAGAAAAAAGTTTACAACTAAAGGAAAAACACCACAACCGCCAAGTAATAATGTCCCTAGTTCCGGAGGTTCGACACCATCTGGAGGTCCGGCACCATCTCCCCCAAGTAGTGGTGGTTCTGGTAGATCGTTCAAACAGGAGCTTAAAGACAAAGTTGATCAGCGACAAAGTAGAATTGGCGGTAATGGTGGCGATACTAAGAGAAAAGCACCACAACCGCCAAGTAATAATGTCCCTAATTCCGGAGGTTCGACACCATCTGGAGGTTCGACACCACCTCCCCCAAGTAGTGGTGGTTCTGGTAGATCGTTCAACCAGGAGCTTAAAGACAAAGTTAAACAGCGACAAGGTAGAATTGGCGGTAATGGTGGCGATACTAAGAGAAAAGCACCACAACCGCCAAGTAATAATGTCCCTAATTCCGGAGGTTCGACACCATCTGGAGGTTCGACACCACCTCCCCCAAGTAGTGGTGGTTCTGGTAGATCGTTCAACCAGGAGCTTAAAGACAAAGTTAAACAGCGACAAGGTAGAATTGGCGGTAATGGTGGCAATGCTAAAAAGACTCCACCACCAGTAGCGCCTAAACCTTCACTACCTCCTTTCGCTAAATCCAAACAGGCAACACCTCCAGGTCCATCAAGTCCACCTCCATCAAGTCCACCTTCAAGGCCACCTTCAAGGTCACCTCCAAGGCCATCAGGTCCACCTCCACCACCTCCATCAGGTCCACCTTCAAGTCCACCTCCACCAAGTCCAGGTCCACCTCCACCACCTCCAGGTCCACCTCCACCTTCACCAGGCCCTTCTTCACCTTCACCTCCACCGTCAAATTCCCGATCGGCACTTTTGAGCGACATTGAAAAGGGCACCAAATTACGAAAAGTAGGCCCTCCATCTCCAAATCCACCTTCCAATCCTGGACCTGGTAACGGAAACTCGCTTGTAGATTCACTTAATGATAAAATCAAGCATCGGAGGACGAAAATGAGCGGTGATGAGCAGCAGGACTGGAGTAGAAAACGCTAAAGTCTCATGTTACAGCTTTCAAATATATCTGAACTTTAATCATTTTTGGTATTTCTAGTATAATTATTTGAATCACTTGGTGTTATTTGAGCATTGCTTAGTGGGTTTTAGAGGTCAAATACTCGGTATATTTCATTGCTCAACAGGTCAAAGCTGCACCTACTCGAATGGCGGCGGATTGCCATCAAATCTCTGATTTTGTGGGTATATACAACTGATTGGTATAGCATGCTTGGAAAAGTCATACATTATCAAGATGTGCATACTGAGCAAGATTCTTGCCAGTTTTTAATTACTCCCAATGTTGCTTGCATAATCATCATATTGTTGGTATTGATGTTGTAGTTGATGTGTCAATACGACATGTCAAGCAATATTATATCAAGTTGATGGATATAATAAAACTGACTATTTATTTAATAGTGCATAACATTGATCTTTTTGTAGTCGAAATGATGTACATGAACACTAATCTGATCTGATATTGCATAATCGCAGCATATTATCATTGTGCAGCATGTTGATGAGTAACCACTTCACCTGAACATCAAAGCTCTCAATACCATCGTGTGGTGATCAGAATATACTTGCCGCATGATGTCGTTGCACAGCATATTTTAATCAAATCTAACCCTAATACCAACTTTCAGCTTCAACAACAGGCGATTATATAGGCGGATCTCCCTTTAAAGCTACCTTGACATCAAGCCAACACTAATCCCTTGAAGCGGCCATTCAACATGCTTTTAATCTGGCCCACTCTAATGTGTATAAATGCAATCTAAAATCAATCAGTTGAATGACATTACACCTTGCTCAATCAAACCAGTATAATGAAATTATCAATCGCCGTATTGGCATCAGTCCTGACTGTCTGCTCGGTCACTATTGCTAGTCCAGTCATTCCCAGCTCGACTAAAAGTGCTGAATCTAGTATTTGGACAGTTATTCCCACTGCAAATGCAGTCAGTGAACCTGACTATTCAGAATATCCTATCCCATATGACGGGTATGGAAAGTATTGCCATCCACTTGATTTTGATGGAATGATGCTGGTCAAACTACTTGCAAAAAATACACATAAACTAGAAAAAGCAACAAAATATATCAACAAGAAAGAGTCCAACATTGCATGTCAAGAAACATTGGTGGGTGAGCTCAAGGAAAGATTGGACTCTGTAATGGATGATGGTCATGGGTCAGGAATCGCTGAGCTTGAATCCGAGTTTATTAAACAGAATGGCATTCTTGAACAACTCAAAGAACAGTTGGAGCGACTTTTTAAAAGACATTCGAATTGGTACAAAAAAGATGTTGGATTGCGATCGGCACTTGCAGAGTACTTTGCAGAGCATGGTATGTCTGGAGAAATGACTACTGATGGTGAGCCAAACCTATATTCATATCCCGGATTCAAGAAATGTTTTGATTATTTCTACAATCGCTCATGACAATGATTACCAAGATCCAAGCATGGTGTAGTTTTTCAAGATTATGATGTTTGGCAACAAACTCATGGACCAGATTCGCTACATTGCTGGGGTTGAGTGAACCATCACAGTTCCATCCAGTATATGTTGTAATGCAGCGTGTATTGCATGGTGGTTTAATTGTCATGTGTCATGCATCCAATGCCATTCATTCAATAAACATCGTGTATTGTCAAACAATAGTGTATTATACTAATGGTTTGATCGTATTGCACCAATCAACTACTATGTGCTGTCATGACTGATCATTCGGTGTGCGACACATATTGAATGCATGCAAATCCATGACTGTCAATTCCTTGTTGTTGAAATGGGTTCAGATCACCATCAGCTCACTCACTCGTTGCACCAATGCGACTGCATGATCAACCTGAAACCAACCAAACCACACTCGAATATATATGTTCCAGTCATGTGCATGGTGTATCGATTGTCAACTCACAATGTCAACTCCAACACATTCCACCATGATTATGGTCACATCACACCATGCTGATGTATGTCGATCGGTATCACATTGCAACCAGTTATCATCCAATGACTGCAATGCAATACCGTGCATGTATTGTGACTGATACGCTGTGCACCATCAGCAAGTATGCAACTGTCACTCGATATATCGACTCTGATATGCAACAACATGCTGTGTTTACCATGATCATGTTTTTGATCAATCTCTGACTCACGGTACATGATTTGACATGTTGGATCGTGTGGATGTGTCATGGACTGCAATTTAGTTGCAGACACACATATGTTGAACATTGACTGATGCATAATGTGCAACGACTGATCAGTGCGTGTGTGATTGCACACTTGGTGGTATTGTGCATTATGGTTGTTTGACAATGGATGAATGCTGGATTAGTCGGTTATATGCAACCTGTCTGAATCGATCTATTTGAACAAACATTCGATGTAACTAACAACAATGTGTATGCATGGATGTTGGATCAGTCGAGTTTCTGTTGGTAGCGCCATACATGAATTGACCAATAAACTTGTAACACTGTCAGAATACACTTGTATAAATACGACTTGTTTGCATGAGATGATTTTGTAGTTCAATATCCGAGTTTATTAAAATCTGTTTTAAAAACATCGACTATAATATCCAACCTACAAAACGTCAGCTATTTAATTACTGTGTTATCAAACATGCATGGATTGCATTGAAATTACACATGATACAATACCAAGTATATACAAGTATTGTCATGTCACCATATCAACACAGGCTTGTGTATTGGTTGTGAAATCGACCATTTAGTACGCGATTGTGACGATGCAAATGGTCCACTTTGAACGCATATAACTTGGCCAATACCAGTTATTTACCAGCCATATTTAAACTGGTTGTGTATATGGTATATCACCATTGATTGAGCATGCATATGCACGGTTTGCAGACATTTATAATTCGTGTTGAATGTGTTGTATGTGACCATTTGAAACTCGACTAATTGTGGTGTATTTTGACATGTATATTGACTGATGTTTAGCGTCTGTTGACAGATCGTTGATTGTATAGGCAACATCGGGACATCACAGGACCACTATGCAGTATAACTGACATGCGGTGATACGCTGACACCCATATTACACAAATATTTTACCATTACTACATGACAAGTTGTAAATACCAAACATCACATGTATTAATAAACAGCCAAGTATGTTTAATCACTGTTTTATTTCCGATACCTGAACATGAATATCATCAACAAATGTGTGTACAGAGTTGTATTGACATTATTGACAGTCAAACACAACACATGAATGTGGGCTCAAACTTGGTGATCGTACAATGTATGATTACTAAGAGCACAAAGTGTAGATTCAACATTATAGTGTGATTGTGTCGTATGATGATTGTTGTATATCAAACATGCAATGCAGTCAATGTGTGGTAACCATTGTATATTGCAATTCAGAATACAGTCACTGCATGATGGATATCAAAGTGATCCATTATACATGAATACGGTTGTAAAAAGGAGCGTTTGCGGTTATACAACACTCATGAAGGGTGTGCTTTTCAATATACCTGATCAAAGGGTCGTAAAAGCATAATTCAATCGACATGATCATCAAATTGATCAATATGATATTGTGATTAGAGAGTAGCTCACTACAAGCAATCAAGTAACCCTGTGTCGTTGGTTAACCTAAAAGGGTTAGGGTTGATTTGCTATACAAAACATACAAATACAATCGAGTGTTCCAGTTTTATAATCGACACCAATCTCAACACTCTACTTTTGTATTAATAGTTTAAACCCATTGACCAGTCTGATGAAATTGGTTGATATTTTATTTGTACTGACTGCAGCAGCAACTGCCAATGCAATATTGATACCGACTGATAATAATGGCTCACCACAAGTATCAAGCACTTCCAGTCAAGTGTCTGGCCCAACTGATGAACCTAATCCAGGCACTTCAGATGAATATCAGCAAGAACCAGTGGATTTAAGCCTTTCCGGCCGAATCCGACAACGGCCAATGGATCAACCCGGTCCAAATACTCCTAATCAAGGTCAACGACCAACTGTGATTGTAGCTGGTCCAAGTACTTTCAAACAAGGCCGAAAGCGCATAATGGATGTGATTGATTTACTGATTTCCAGACAAAACCAGCAACAACAAATTGATGAAGTTGATCCAAACGCTTCCAAACAAAGTCAGCAACAACAATCAATGGATCAACCCAGTCCAAGTACTCCAAAACAAAGTCGGAAACGGCCAATCAATGAAATCAGTCCAAGCATTTCCAGTCAAGCGTCTGGCTCAACTAATGAACCCAGTCCAAGTGCTCCAAAACGAGATCGAAAACAACCAATTGATGAACATGGTTCAAGCATTTCCAGACAAGACCAACAACAACCAATGGGACAAGGCGAGTCTGCTAATATTGTTCCAAATCAAATAGCTGGATTAAGCCAAAAATACCAGATAACCTTTAATCGTATAAAGCAAAAGCTTGAGTTGTCTAAAATAATACGAAACAAAAAACTCAAAGAATATTGTGATTATGCAGCCCTCAGATTCGAACAATGGTCTGCGCTAGAAAGGGGAGAAGAAATATCTGGATCAAGATACGATCCAAAGGTTGAAGACCAATTGAAACAAGATTATAGAAAGGCAGGAACAAGAGTGTGCAAGTTGAGGGATCAATTGAAAAAGTTTATGAAAAGGCGTGGTTTGAAATTGGAAGAACTGGGTTTGGATTTGGATTGATGATGTGTCGATGAATTTGATTTTGAATAAATTTAAACTTTCTGATGTGTTGGTATTTGTCGAGTATCGTGAATGGATCAACAACCATATCATTGATTGTGTATACTGTGTTGGATATTACATCAACAGTTATTGGATTGTTGATTGATACATTGACACGGTTTGTTCCATATACATCAATGACCTGATAACAACCAGTGTTGATTGTAACTATCAGACATACTTGCAATCACTTGTCAATTGCATGACATCACAAACTGATCATGTCGTGTATTGTACAACAAACGGAGCAATACACTTGTTCAAAGTCTGTCACAAGCAAAATGTGTTTGTCATGTCACTGTCACTGTTGGAAATCACAACATACAATGTTTGATTGAAGGATTTAACACGTCATTACAAAACATCATTGCCTTTTATCAATAATATACTAAAACTAACCAATACGTTAATGTCTTGCAAGGTATTGTGTTTGACTACAATCGCATCCATCATTGTGCAGTTGGTGATATTGCTGAATCAAGATATGAAAGTGATCCATCAAGTGGTTCAATTAAAACAAACACTGCAAACCATTCAATCAATGTTGGAAATTGTGTTGGAATACTGAATGGACAAACCTTTGAGTAAAATACAAGTCAATATACAGTAATGCTATGTATACTGTGGTTAGTGGAAATGATTACTCGTATCCAATTTCAGATGATGATCAAATAATTCAGACTTGCAAGTATTATGAATTTGAACACATCCAAATTGCTGAAACGTTTGTTACTGAATCTAGAAACCCATATCCAACAATGACAAATAAGCAGCGTCAAAACAGAAATCAATTGCATGCATTATCAACAATTAGTGAACATGAAAACAACAAAACATATGATATATGACAGGACATTTCAAACAACTTGTTTCTAGAGC